CGAGAGCCATGGCTCCCGTTCAACCTGAAGTCTGAAGACTAGATAAGGAAACTTTTGCTACCTACTTTATACTCTCTGGAAGGTCAGTATTTTTATGTGCTTGACCTCACACTGGCAGACATTGTAGTGGCAAAGGCAGTGAACCCTGAGGAGATGGTGATCGACTACTGCTTCCTTCCTCAAACATCCATGAGAGAGACAGAGGCGGACGTGGACCAGGAGCGCCGCTGCCGTGTCCCCGCAGGCACACTTCAAGATGCATAAGCCAGAGACTTGTCTGCTCCTCTCCGGAGGAAGGTAAAGAACATCTCAATCCTACTATTAGAGTGTCTAAAAAGAACATCTCAATCCTATTGGAGTGTTTAAAATATCTTTCTTACACCCCTAAAAAGTGTTACTGACTGTATAGTTTCCAGAGTGTCCTGAACTCAGTCTCCATGACTCCTTCCTAACGAGTGGTTCTAATATCTGAAAGTTGGGAGAGTAAAATATACAAAGTAATAGTGAAAGTATTAGTTGCTTAGTCATGTCTGATTCTTTGTGACCCCACGGACTGTAGCCCGCCTGGCTCCTCTGTCCATGGAGATTCTCTAGGCAAGGATACTAGAGCAGGTAGCCATTCCCTTCTCCAGGGGATCTTCCCCACCCAGGGTTTAACCCAGGTCTCCTACATTGCAGCCAGATTCTTTACCACTTGAGCCGCCGGGGTAGCCCCACAAAATAGTAGTATGCATCAGTATAAAGGGTTGGAACTACGTGTTGTCTAAATATTATCAGGATAATTCATTTTTTTCAACTACTGCCCTTTGTCATAGGTGTCTTTTATTTGCCATTTCATTCAGTTCTTTCTGATTGGGCCTATGATAGCATTAAATTACTAATACCCATTGTTGTTATAGTTTAGTTGCTAAGTTGTGTCTGACTCTTTGTAACCCCATGGACTGCAGCCCGCCAGGCTCCTCTGTCCATGGGATTTCGCAGGCAAGAATACTACAGTGGGTTGCCATTTCCTTCTCCAGGGGATCTTTCCGACCCAGGGATCGAACCTGCATCTCCTGCTTGACAGGCAGATTCTTTACCACTGCACCACCTGGGAAGCCCAAGATGGCTAAAGGTCATTCAGTTTACCAAAGGACTTCTCACCCCAAATACTCTCTTGCCTTAGAAGAGCTTACATTGCTTCCATGAAGATGGGAATTCTCTGGGTAACTGAGGTGAGTGTCCATGTTGGTGTTCATGCTGTTTATGAAAAGGCTCTTGACTGTGAGCACCTTGGTGTTAAAGTTTGCTGACATCTTGTGCCCAGTTATCAATATTCTGAATCTAACTTCTATTCCTTCCAGATCACATTAAGGAAATTTGATTTAGTGAGAGGAAAATGAAAACAGAATGAAACATCTGCCCTTAGATCCCCAAATTCAGAAGGAAGCTAGTTTCTTCTCCTTGATTAACAACCACAACAGTTTTCACTTCATTAGATGTAGTATTTGCATATATAAAACTTATTTCCAATTGGATGCTGCTTATGTTTTCAAAAATAAATATCAGAGAACTAAAAGTTTTAAAACACATGAAGCCTAATGAAAAATATAAATAATAATGACAAATCTTCAAAAGCTGTTTTGTACAGATTTTTATGTGTTTCTATTATTTCTGTAACCAAAACCCAATTTGAGATGTGTGTGGAGTTAGAAACAGACGTACTAGGCTCATAAAAAGTGAAGTTGCTCAGTTGTGTCCGACTGTTTGCGACCCCATGGACTGTAGCCTACGAGGCTCCTCTGTCCATGGGATTTTCCAGGCAAGAATACTGGAGTGGGTTGCCATTTCCTTCTCCAGGGGATCTTCCCAACCCAGGGATCAAACCCAGGTCTCCTGCATTGAAGAGTCTTTTACCATAATTTTTGATATGATTAACTTAAGAAAAAAGGGTGAGGATAAGAAATGTCTATTTGATGTGAAAATTTCCACATGTCTGTCATAAAGACGCTATACACGCTACAAGTATCCATTCCCATTGTCAAAAAACTCAGTTCCTGAGTTTTCCTATTAACCTTGGGGTAGATAGTGTTATCGACCACTAGATGGCACCAGGCACAAGTGATAGATTTCTTTTTCTTTTTTGTTTTTTTTTTTTCCTTCCAGATGAAGTAAATGGTTTTTGCTCTAAACCTACAGTGAAGCCCTAGGAAAGAAAGAGAGGATGTGTTACACGATGGCTGATGAGGTTGCTCCCTATATACTGAACTGTTGAGCCTAGACCTTCTGAGTTTGAGAGCAATCTAACAGGTATTACTTCACTCCCCCAAAGAAGGAAATCAGAAGTTGCTGTGTAAATTCTTTGATGTAAATGGCGTGCTATACATATAGAAGTTTGTTCCCCTGGCAGGGAACATGATGGGGGTTCTATGACAGACAAGTACCTCACTTCTAAGGAATTAACCGCCTTTCCCCTTTCTGGTGCTAAGATGTAGAACCAAATACCAGGACACACTTAAGGTGAACCCAATGGCTTTGAAAATACAGTTCCTGCTAGCTTCTGTAGTTCTGTGTTAATGTGTTTTTAAAAGCCAGTTTTGAAATTAATTTATCTGGGTACTACATATTTGCTCCTTTCTATTTTTTTATTAGGCATTAGATTTCTAACTCTTGACTTCCAGAGATGACAGCCCCCCCAAACCAGTAATGGTGAGTAATCTTGAGAAGTCATTTTAAGATGCAGCAATGGACCATAGCTCTTTTTCTGCTTCCTCCTTTTTAAAAATTAAGTTTTTAATGTAGAGTACAACTTTACTATCTTTTGGTCAAAGATCTATTGGTAGAAGCACGACACTGAAGTTTATTAGTGCAGTCTCACCTTTCACAGCAAGCGTAATGTATTTTTATGTATGGTACAGGGTGTGGTCTAAGAGAGACAGAGCATGGAATAGTCTTCATGTATCTAAAACAGAAGATAAGAAAGAAAAGGCTCCCTACCAAGGTATCAACAGTTTCTCAGTGATAAGGATAGAGGAACCTGGGAATATCAACAAATTACCAAAACAGCTGAGGAAATGCATGTGGAAAGAAGGGGAAAAATGGTAAGATTATTTCTAATTCAAATCCACTCTGTAACTTGGATACCTCTAGCCCCAAATAAACCACAGCCATGCTTTGGAAGTACCGATTCACATGCAGGGGTGCTTATCCAGTCTCAGCTTGGTTCCTGGACTGTTGACTTTTTACCCCCCCAACCTGCTGAAAGAATTGAGCCCCTGCATAAAAACAAAGAGCTTGTATGGTCCTAAAGAAATATCATAGTTTATACAAAGTAGTCTGTTGACTGACTATTTTTCAGTTAAAAAATTTTTTTAATTAAAAAAATTTTGACCAAGACAATAATAGAACATAATTTGCAACTAGTCAGGAAGGCAACTGGTCCCAAGAGAGGAAAGAAAGTGATACGGGGATGCCATCTCTGGGTGAACAGCATGATGCAATGACACGAAGACGAGACTTGAAAGCATAACAAATATGTTACAGGTCAGAATAATTATCTTCCAAGTCAGAACTATCTGGAAGGCATAATGTAGCCTGGGCAAAAGACAGGTTGAATCGTTAAATGATCCAGGTCAACGTCCATTGTGGTCTTCAGACTGATGAAGGAGACTGGAGGCATCACAGTGGGAAGTCAAACATTTTAGAACCTTGAGCTGATTTAATCCAGCCATTCATTTTACAGGTGAGGAAACTTGAGGTCCAGTGAGGGTAAATGACTCTCCCAAGGGAGCACAGCTAGACAATGACAAACCCAGAATGAGAACCGGTTTCCTGATCTCCAGCTCAGAGGCTGTTCCTTCAATCACACTGCCTCCATGGTAGACAGAGGACCCACCAAAGGTGTTGGGGGCCGCATGACCACAATACTGCGTGAGCTTGAATCGAGAGCATGTCCCAGGACAACACTCGGGGGACAAAGCGCCTGCCTGAGCAAGCTCAAAGAACAGACTGACAACGCCAGGAAGCATTTACCACCTTCTCAGGCAGAATGACCAAAGAAAGATAAAAAGGGCAAGGAAGCAAGGAATGCCTGCTTAATTAAACTGGTGACCACACCCACCTTGTTATGAGAAGGTGCCCAGGTCAGGTCGATACCTAAATACTAACAGTACTGCTAACAAAAACAAGGTAAAAAGTAAATCCTTTTACTAGAATACTTGTAAATACTCATCAATAATAATAATAATGATGATAATAATACCTTTAAAAAAAAACAAAACACTTCAAGTTGCATATTACCAACACACAAGTTGTGAAGAAATTCTTGGGTGGTTGAACATGAATCAAGGTCTTCCCTGTGATGATACAGCTTTATTCCCTGAGGGCGTGAGACGTGTCCTCAAGAAATGAGAAGTCTTACCTATTTCTCCTTTATGCTTAGATTCTCCACTTCCCTGATACAAACAGTAACACTGGTTCTACAAGTTCTAGAAAGAAAACACTGATGGAAGGATTATCTGAGACACTTGATGCACACAATTTGTAGGAAAACTCTGATTTCTCTGTAAATTACTGATCTGAAAGAGACACAGCAAACCGTCCACAGCTTCAACTTCAAATGATTTAAACAAAAATAGAACGAGCCATGGACAGTGTCTGCATCCCTGTCCAATTTGATGTAAACAACGTTTGTAGAAATTGGGTTTGTTAAGAAAGTTTATCCATATATCTGGATAGCAATAAAAAGCGTTTCCTAGGAAACTGTAAGATCCTGTACCACACAGCATACAGCCCAACTAAGAGGAAAATTAGGTTGATTTCTAAATTCAAGATACACATTTGTACAATTGTTCTTAACTCCTGTGATGTCCGAGCAGAGTGGGCGTGTACATTGGTAGTTGTGTCTGTCTGCTTTCTCGTTCCCGCTGCAGTCTTGCCTGTTGAGCTCACTGGTCCGGACGGGCTTCCTCCTCAGCTGTGAGCCCCTGGGCGCTCCTCCTCCACTTCAGACCCAGCCTGGGTCAGTACTGCCCTTCTGCTAGTGACACTACTGTTTCATGTCTTCCCATTTCCTCTAAGACAGCTGCCAGCACGCTCAGGTTTCCATCTGGGAAGTTCTGTGCTTCCCAGAGATCCAGGATGACACCAGTTGGACTTGATTTGGTGGCAAAGTAATTCAAGTACCTGTAATTGGCAATGGGAAAAAGGGCTCAACGATGTGATTTATGGGTCTGTTTTCTTTTCAGTCTTGACTAAACCTTTTTGTTTCTGCATGTCTATAAGTATCCTGGTCCCCCTTGAGAAACTGGGGCTTGCAGTGAGCTGTCCTGAATAACTAGCCCATGCTTAATTAGGTCAGCCCCAGACAGGAGACGTGATGCTTAACTTTATTAACCTCAACTCTGAGTAAGATAATTTAAGAGACAAGATGTCCATGGGTCACATCCTGAACAGGAAATCAAGAGGCTTATGTTTTCTTTCCAGCCCAGCCTCTGATCATCTTTGACAGGTCATGCCTGGTGTTTTGCCTGGTAGTGATGGCAACGTTCTAAAGAGAAGAGGCTCCTGAGGTCTCTTCATAACTTAATAGCACTGCTGTGTTTAGCATGTTAATTACCCATCCAGCATTAGGTCCTACTTCAACAGGAGGTGAGGAACAGTAATTAGTGAATGGATATATAAGGGGACGACAGAGGATGAGATGGCTGGATGGCATCACCGACTTGATGGACATGAGTTTGAGTAAACTCCAGGAGTTGGTGATGGACAGGGAGGCCTGGCATGCTGCGATTCATGGGGTTGCAAAGAGTCAGACACGACTGAGAAACTGAACTGATATCATTTAGGGGGATTTAGCCCATCAGCCTTGCGAAGTAGATCACAAAACCTGATGCTTAGAAAAGTCAGAGAAGCCCAGGATGTCTCTCAACCATGTATCTACAACATCATGGTGCAAGATACAAGGTAGGAGCTTAATACGTGTTGGCAGAATGAAAAGCAAGTAAATGTACAGATGGAAAGACAAAAAAGAATGTTGCTCCAACATTTATCAGTCCCGAAGCCCTGTGTCTAACAGGAACCAGACTTGAAGCCTGGTCATACCCACCTGTCCAGGTTGAGCTTATGTGCCAGCATCCTCCAGTCGTGACCTCTTGTCTGCGGGGCATCCAGGCTGCTACAGAGCTTCTGCCGGATCGGGGGCGGAATGCTGAAAGCACTGGGGCCTGTCATCGTGGTGATGGTGCTCGCTGGATCCAGAAGAGGCAGATCCATGCCAGTAGGTTCCTGTGGTTCAGGCAGGGCAACAACACAGCATTATTTCTGAAGACAAAAGCAATCCTTATTGACCCAGTCAACATAACGCCTCGTTTGAAAAGACAAGAGGAGAATGGGTGCTATTATTCTCCTTCCTGAGAATGACTTCTTGCTGGCTGCAAGTTGTGGTTCTCTGTAACCCGGCTGAGAGGGAGAAGTATGCTGTGAGCTGACTTTGCACAGCCTGGGATTTATGGGTCTTCCTTCAGGACTGGGCTAGCCGGAGACCTCGTTGTAACTCAGTAACAGCTTTTCTACTAGAATTCTCCAGGATGAACCAGGGAATGTCAATACTCCTAAAGGTTTAAATTTTGGGGGGCTCAGGGGAAGAAATGTTTGAAAGGGCAGTTTTTTGAGAATGAACTGATCCAGGCCTGAGATTCTAGAGATTGTCTAATCCTAAGGGGAATGCCCTGGGCAAATGCTCGAGTAACTTCTCCTTCTAACCTCTGTAGAAGATGGCTTGATTCTGCTTTTGTTGAATGAAATGGAACATAGCTCTCCTCTAAATGATATCAAATTAAGACTAATTTTTTAAAAAGAAAATGGTGAACATGGTATACTGCCTTAGGGCAAACTGTTAACAGAATCCTCCAATTGCTATACACCCTTAACTTAAAAAAAAAAATCTAATTTTAGTAGAGAAAACCATAGATTGGCTCTTAAGATAGTTTCAGCTCATAAAACAGCATAAATGCAAAATCGGAATTTCATCTGCAGGAGAAACTCTAATCATTTTCTGATCACTTCTGCTGGTTGGAAAAGCAAAAGCAAATGTTGCCTGGGAACTATTAAAGTAATAAAAGAAAATCCACTTAATCTACTCTAAATGTCATCTCTCTTTTTTCCGAGCAGGTAACTGAGGTGAAGATAATTAGCTGCTGGAGGATAAAGTAGCCTCATGCAGCTACAGCCATCAGGAAGTCTCAGGGTCTGGCGAGGTGCTCCACCCAGAGGTCAGTGACCCTGTCATGCAGAACCTCCCAAACCCTGCTGCTCCTGCGCTGTGGGGCCACGGGGTGCATCCTGGGGCGGCCTGCTCCGTGGCCCCGGATCAGCAGCCAAGACTCAATGTGAGGCCTGTGCAATCGTACCACATGGGGTCTGTCAGGGCCTTTGGAGGGCATGTTAGAGCAAAACAAAAAAATATTTTTAACATAGAACACACAGCAGTGTTGACTGTGATCACAGTCTTTGGCCTCAAAACCCAGAGCTTGGCAAACTCAGTCTCTGAGGATTGTACTGGCTCCTTTATGTGTTAACCCCCAGCACATACCAGGACTCAAGGGACGGGTGTGAAACAGAAGCACCAAAGGGGAGCGGGAGCCCCTGAGTCCTGAAGATCATTCCCTGCACTGGGCACACAGCCCTTTTCAGGGGACCTTGAAGGCATAGTGCTTAAACCAGGGGGGCCAGGAGAGAGGGCTGAAGGCACATGTTGGTGCTTTTCAGTGGCGTTATGGTAGGAATGTTCAAACACAAGTGGCCAACACTTCTGTTAGGTATAAATGGAGGTGGGGACAGAGGTGTAGAGAACTCACACCTTATTCCACACCTTAGGGCTATGGCCCACTTTGAGGTCCTCCGTGCTGCTTGTCTGGACCGTAACAATGGGGTCTAGATGGAAACCCAGCCGAACTGTCCCTGGCTGGCCGTGGAGTTGGGTCTGCTCCGTGGAGCGCTGACTCAGAGCCTCAGATGTTCTCATTGGTGGCCACACCAGCTCCCTGCTTATTCCTGTGATCTCCCTTCTGCCACACTCATCTTCCTGAAGCCCAGCACTGACATTCTCCTGCTTTCTCTTAGTAAGTATCAAATGGCTTTCCTACCACTCCCATCCCCAACTCCTAATCCTGCAGTAAGGGGGTATTGCTGGTTTGGAGGCCCCAGGTACTCCCTCCACCAAGCAACCTGGCCCCCGCCTTTCTCATGACTCTCTCTCCTCAGACTGGTCCATTCACTCTTCCAAGTACCTTTCTTAAGGGTGTTTGTTGTTCAGTCACTCAGTCTTGTCCGACTCTTTGTGACCCCATGGACTGCAGCACGCCAGGCTTCCCTGTCCTTCACTATCTCCTGGAACTTGCTCAAACTCATGTCCACTGAGACATGATGCTATCCAAACATCTCTGTCCTCCCCTTCTTCCTCCTGCCTTCAATTTTTCCCAGGATCAGGGTACCTTTGGTAGTTCTATTCGCTTCCCTGGTGGCTCAGATGGTAAGGAATCTGCCTGTAATGAGGGAGACCCAGGTTTGATCCCTGGGTCTGGAAGATCCCTGGAAAAGGAAAGGGTAACCCACTGCAGTATTCTTGCCTGGAGAATTCCATGAACAGAGGAGTCTGGCAGGTTACAGTCCATGGGGTTGCAAAGAGTCGGGCCAACCCCTTCAAAGCCTAGACCAGAAAGCATGTTTCCTGAGCAAACACACCCCAAGCTATCTGTCCGGAGCCCTCCTATAGCGCATCCCACAGCTTGGGATCTCCACCTAGTCTGCCCTGGGAACCGTGGCTGTACTTAGAGGTCTTCCTCTGACTTCCCCAGATGCCTGGAGATGAGACTGTTTTTGTCATCCCCAGAACTCCTATGATGCTCAGGACAGTGCCTTGTGTACGGAAGCTCTTCAATTCATATTTGTTGAAATGAGAGAAAATGTTTGATACAGAGAGATGAAACCCACTCCACAGGGCTTATGTCTAACTAACTGTGGCTGAAGGTGAAGGCCAGGGAGAGGCAGGCACGGCTCTCAGGAAGAAGGTGTGCTCACAACCACACGATTCCTTTTCCTGGTGAATAAGGAACCATCAGCACTTTACGTGGGCCTTCAAACCCTGTATCTCCAGCCTGTTTATTTCTATGTGGACGAAATAAGAACCCTGATAGGGCATCATCTTGTCTCTCTCATCAGATGGCTGACAACAGCCTTGGAGGTAAAAGAAAAATACATATATTTACATTTAAATTTCACCTACTAATTTCTGTTGCTATCATTTCTTCCAAGTAAAAGTAGAGTTTACTCTCACATAATGCTTATTACAATAATTGTTTATGATATTGGTACCATCTGCCTTTGACGTTATGATTCTCTTAAACATATGATTTTTCACTATTAACCAAACAGCTGCTATGGCCTACATTTCAACACTCCACAGGAGAAGTAACTTTCCACTCCTGTATTCTGACTCTTTCTGAAGTCACTTAGAAAAACTAGATTTCCCCAAGGGTCCTTTGGAACAGATTACAGAAAACAGAAGAGGTAAATAGACAGGATGGCTTTAGCAGAGGGAAGCTTTGGACGCTAACATTGTTCTTGGTTTGCACAGAAGTGCTGTGGGTCAACAGTTAGGAGTTATAATGTCTTTGTTTATAGTTAAAACTAAAGGTCCTGAAGACGCTGAAATTCCTCTTCTACTTTCTTTCTTTCCTGGTGGGGACCTTCCCCTTCATTACTTCCCTGGTTCCTCTAGAAGAACCCTCTTACCATCATTTACATTTTGACATTCATTCATCCCCATACCCTGCCAGGCATTTTCCTTCTTACACTTTATCTCGAGGTAAGGAAGGAATCACTGGCCACAGCACCCAGAGGGGAGCCACCGTCCAGCTCCTGACATCATCTTGGTCTACGTCCAGCACCGCTGGGGCTGAGTGGCTTTAGAAAGGAGCGCGGGGGGAGCGGCACCGTCCTCGAAAGGCAGCTCCTTCTCGGGAGATGGGACATTGGCACTGCAACCCCAGCCCACCCGCCAACTTGCCATGTGACCCTAGGGAGGAGGCCCCCTCCGGCAGACAGACACCACCCATGGAGCCCTTTCTGGGGTTGGTTATGGCTTGTCAGTCACAGGGGACCCCACCTCGAGCTTTTCATGAGGGTCCAGGGCTCAGGGCACTACGGAGCCAATTGTTCCCCAGTGCACAGCCTGGCTCCCAGCGTCAGTACCAGCCCGCTTGCACCGCATTCAGATGCTAACGACAGCGGGGGGACTCAGTGACCCAGAAGGAAAAGCAGCAGTGTGCCCCCTAATCCCCAAAGTCACCTGACTTGGGGCCTTTCTGCACACACTCCCCCACCCCTCTTCACCGTGCTTGTCTGTCACAGGCCTCTGAGGGGCCTTGAAGGGTGGGCCTCTCAGAGCTGACAGCCACCGGGTTGCAAAAGAAACCATCTTTCCTCTCTGTTGGCACAAGAAAGAAAGTCCTTAAACTGTGATCACACTAGGCGACACTGTCTCCTCAGCAGGGGGAGAGCCCTGCACGGCGCCCTTTCATTTGCGGCCGCAGCTGATCCACCTTTTCATCACACAGCCCGACGCTCAGGCTGAACAGAAAGCAAGCATCAAAGGCGCAGACCTCCTCGCCCCGCTCCAAAATTCCCGCAGCCTTTGTTGTCCCCGGAGCTGGGTGGTTATTGAACTTTGCAGACCTGCTGGGCCTGGAAAGTGAAAACACCCTCCCGAGCCAGCAGGGGTGGTGCTGTGGGCCCAGGCGATAGGCCGGCCTGGCGGAAGGCTGGGCGGTTGCCATGGCGACCTGACACCGAGATCATGCCTTATGAATGTCACCGAGGTCTGTGACTGAAGTTGTTTATGAGTCAAAAGTCTCATGAAACTGCGGGAGGAAATGATGACCGCAGCTTGGAGGGCTGTGGGAAAGGAGGATGCGGCAGAGCCGATGCGCTTCCCTCCGCGGTTTGCTCAGGAAGACCATCCTTAAGTACGCCACGCAGAGAGACGCACCGAACACGGTGACATTTCATTCACTGGCGAGGGAGAGGGGTCTTTTAAATCAAACACTGTAGTTCTAAAAGATGACAGTTCCGTGCTGTGGCTCATGAAGCATCACCAAGCCCAGTTCTACGGCCCCAGAAGGCGCTGCCCCTTCCTTTCGTCTGGTCCTCTCTCGTCCCTTCAGCCTGAAGGGTTTCCACTGTCCTAACTCCGAGCCCTGGGGTACCAGGTAACCAGTAAGGTCCTGAGCGCCCTTTCTTTCCACCCAGGGAAGTTTTAAATAGCAGCGATGATTGTTATTTCTGAGTTACAGACGTTCTAAAAAGTCCCACCTGAAGCGGGTGAGGATCACAGCGAGGAAAGATAGTGAGAGGGCCGCTGGGGGAGATGCGTAGGTTTACCTTCTATTTCTGGACTCTCTCACACTGGGGAGAGGTGCATCTCTTCTTCTGTTTGGAGGGTGAGGTATAAGACAGCTAGCACACCCAGAGCTTTCTCCTTTCAACATAGAGAAGAAAGGAAAGGAAGTGGTGGGCAGCACACGATTGGGCAAAGGCAGGCGCATCCCGAGGAAAGCAGCAGAACCAACAGGAAGAGAGTCAGGAGATCCAGGGGAACAGGGTACAGTAGGGATGCTTCGGGAAAGTTATTGTATGTGCACACAAATTAATCCTTATGGCTGAAGTTCAGATGTGTGTAAGAAGTCCTTAAATTCATGTCACAAACTACAAAAGTCTTGTTTTTTGAAAAGGATCCTCTATTACACTTTTATGTATTGGTATCTCCCTGTGTTCATTAAAAGCCCTGTTTTGTGAACAAGCTGGCCCCCAGGACTTCCCGTAGGTGCACAATGAGATGCTTTATCCCTCTCTGTTCTGAGAGCCTCTTACCTCAGACACGGTGCAGTTCAGCTGGAAGATCTGCCCTTCTCCCTCCACTTGCCGCACACACAGTTTGCAGACCAGCTCCACTGTGTTCAGGCTGAATCTCTCCAGAGTGAACGTGCAGTGGAGGTTTCTCTGAGACCCACTCCAGATATGGTAGAAAGGAATTTCCTGAAGCACAGAAAAGGGGGAACCACAAATGAGGGACACAGTACTGCACGTGTGAATTATGGTACCTTCTTTACTCCTCACAGTGGTCTGTGCACGAATATATCCCAACCGCCTTTTCAGATGGAAAAACTTGAGGACTCACCCAAAGCCCCATAGCTAGTAAGTGGTAGAGTTGAGGTCCAAACCCAGGGACTTGGCCCCAGAACCCAGCCTGCCACTTCTGTCATTTACAAAAAAGCCACTGTAAGTGGGTTTTTTAAAGGTTTAGACAATTCCCCAACTAAAACCCATTCCCCTCCAGTCACTGCCCATGAAAAGAACTGCCTGCCAGGGTATCATGGAGGAAAGAAAGCAGTCTAAAGGGTGATGCACTGACCCAGTGCCCTTTCATGCCCATGCCCTCCGCAGGACTAGGAAAGCCAGGACTCACTACAGGTTGGAAACTGGAGGCTTGATTAGCTGCCACATGAAAGCTCCTGGCCTAAAAAGCACCAAGCCTCTAAGAGGGATAATTTCCTATGAATCTAGATCACCTCACAGAGCCCATCCTAGAATCTTTTTTTTCAATAAAGGAAAAAAAGGTTGACACACAATGGGAGACCATGTTGGTTAAGAGCAGAGGCTTGGAGCCAAATTCAGTACAAATGAGATGCCTTCCCATTGTTGACCTGGCGATTTGGGGCACGTCGCTTAACCTTTTCTGTCCCCTCATCTGCGAAAGCCTGTGCCTAAGCAAAAGAAAAACCTGAATGAAGGGGGTTAGATGACATTCATCAAAGTACATGAGAGTCTGGAGGATGGTGAGAACTCAGCCAGGCTTAGCTTGAAGTAATATACTATCATTATTATTATTAAAACAGTATTTTCCATTGCAGTTGCACACACAAAAACACTGTTCATAAAAGGGGAAGATTGATGGCAGTTGCAAAATCAGAGAAGAGAGGAAAAGGAAGGGAGAGATTTAATGAGCAAGTCAAAGCCAGTCTCTCAATCAAGTGCTGAGTTACACAGAAGAGTCTGGCGTGCGCCCCCATCAAAGCTCAAGACTGTTGGTGAACTAATAGGTCCCCCCCGCCCCAATTTATGTGTATGTACCAGACATCTGAGAGTAAGGATGCAGCAGAAAATCTTCCCTCTATCCCTTCTAGTACGTTCATGGCCTTCCATCAGGAAATCACAACCAGTGCAGATGCAGCCCCCATGGGGCCTGGGTGTGCATGCATGTAGGCAAGGGTGAGCTGCTTATATAAGTGTGTCTGTGACTCCCAGGACGGAGTCTGAGACTAGGGATCCCATTGCAGCCTCCTGAGAGCCCGGGCTGGCTGATGGAGGTGGAGATGAGAAGCTTGTGGAGAATCTCACTTTCCCCTCATACAGCTATTATACAGAGGGGACCAGTATTCTTATGCTGGTGTTTAATAAAATCCTGACCCAGGTTTTATTTTTACTTGCTATTCCAAGTTTCCAAGATGATGTTTCCTCTAAGTTTTCAATGTAAAGGCACTCTCCTAGTCAGGCTGAAGCCTAATTTGTGTCATGTGGGATACCAATGTTCTCTTTCTCCTATGAATGCTTTTGAGGCTCCTTTTATCAACTCAGTGTTAACATTACTCTGAAAATGAATAGAAATGATGGACTTGAGGTCTTATTTATTGAAAGTAAAACTATAGTACACTTACCTGAAACAATTAAGAGCATTTCCTCCAGTACATCTACAGTATTTTTTGGAAATCCTAAATAATCCCAAACTATTTTGGAGAAGTACCGAAGTAAGAGTACTTTCAAGGAATGGAATATCTTCTGTCTAAATCATTCCAGTTCTCTTTCTTGGAGATGTCCCCAAGCCTTCAGTTCATCTTGGGAACCTTACCTGATATTTGGCCAGTAACTTGCTCTTCCAGAGGGAATGGGCAATATCGTGAATGGATAGGCGCAGGTTGTGGGTGCTGCCTTTAAAGTGAAGAGCCTTAGGTTCTTCTAGGAGCTGTCCTCCCATCTGTCGCTCAAGCTGCAAAACTTCCTGCAATGACATGCCCCAAACCAAAAGCAAATTGATTGACTGGCGTCACTTCTGTGGTATCTTCCTCATTCTGCCCCCCGCCCCAACACCTGACTGTGCAACATGGGACCTCACCCTCCAGCCTTGAGACCCTCCAACAGAGGCTCCGGTCAGTTTGCATGGGACTGGTCCCTATGGACCATGGACAGTCAACAAGCCGCAGCACGCTCAGTACAGTCTGCACTTTCCAAGACAAATGGGATATTTAATCAAATACAGGGAAATAACAATCAGGGACCCAAAGGGGGAGAACTCCAATAAAAGAAAAAACAGGCAGAAATATAAACAGATAAGAAAGTAGATTTTCAATGAACTTTTAGGGAAAAGGGCAAATAACTAGAAAACAAACCACATCTTGGATTGGTTAACACCAGCCAACAATTAAAAATCTGGAATGTGTTTTGGGCACCCTTCCTATCTTATTTAGTTTCCTTACCTACAGAAAGACAATTTCTGTTTAAAATTATCCATTGCACAATTCCTACGTATCAAAAAAATTAAAACAGGCTCATTAAATATTCTATTAGAGAAAAGTACACAGATCAGGAGGATTTTCCAGCACCAAATATTGACCTAAATAGTCACTCAGATTAAATTTTTTTTAAAAGTCACCTCATTTTTCAAGACCCATGGCTGATTAAAAAATTTGCTATATAACTTTTCTTATGCCATAAATATGTAACATCAAGATAAATTCTGTATCTACTTCCATTCTTCAAGCTCATTAATGGGAGTAAATGAAGCATTTCCAGCTACAGCTGCAATTATCCAAACATCAGCAAACCATAAGTTATCAATGAATAAAATATCCTGAGTCTCTTTTGCTGTCGGAACCATCCCTGTGCATTTTGTTCCCCTCAAACTTTAACTGTTTTAGTAGCGCAAATACACAGGCATTTATGGCCCTTTTTCTGGGTTCAGGTAATAATGAATTTTGTAGCAATATAAGAACAAAATCTGATTTTCTTCCTTGGTGAGATGTCACCTGAAAGCTAGAGCCTGATAATTCAGGTAATCAGTCAGGCCCCATGCCACACACACATATAGGGAGACTATTCCTGCACAGATAGATGGTCACAGTGGAAAACTATAGTGCAGTAAGTGCAGAGCTTACCCACATCATTGATTAGATGCAAACTGCTCCTTTAGTGGTTCTTAGCATCCATCATCTTTGAGTCAGGTCACTATTGTGTATAGCGCAAGCTGCTGAAAGGTGCTATGAGGTATGTTATAGAGGGAATGTTAGGGTGATGTGGAATGCGGTCTGCGGCAGGGACCCCTCTCATCAGTGAGTAATGGAAGAGATGGAGTAACAGCACATTGACACAGATGGGCGGGGCTGGCTGCTCGAGAGCTTCAGTGTTGAGCATATTCAGCCTTGGTGGCCGATGAGCAGCTATTCCTTGTGACAGGAGCCTGAGCAGGCAGCCCCCCGACAGACCTCCCGCGTCACTGCCCTGGCTCTGCAGGGGCAGGCTCGAAGGGTCGCCTGTAGGGCTCCAGGTCGGCTCAGTCCAGAGTCACACACGCTCCCCACGGAACACCCTCCCACCACACTTCACACGCCATTCCGCAACCAGAATCTGGCCATGTGGAAATGAAGACGCGTAAGAAAAGTGAGTGTTAACTGCAGTTTCTTCTGCTTCAGCAGGAAGGCATAATGAGCTTATGTTGATCATGTTCGGTGTCTAGTTAGCATAATAGAGAAGGCTGACGTTCCCGGTGAACCTGGCACCTGACAAATTCTAAAGCTAAAATGATGTTTGTTTATAAGCCATTAGAAGAAAAGCAACATAATTAGAAATCTTTGAGATTACGGTCATGCCAATCAATCAGTTTTAGCTTCTTTCCAGTACACCCTAATTACCTCATCAAGACATCTAAAGAGCAATCGATAGTAATTATCTGATTACTATAGATCTTCATTATGTCCAAATTATCTCCCTGGGATGTCTAGAAGAAGATGCATTGTATTCCAGGAGGTAATTGTACCCAACGATGTATAATCCACACCCCATTCCTATAATCAACACGGATTGTCAGAGGAGATGGAGAATATGATCAGCTTTCTTGGCAGGGAGGACCACTGGTAAAAAACCTAAACTGCCTACTGGTCATGACCTTGAGGTCAAAAAATCTAATACAGCACCACATTTTGACTGCAGGGTCTGAGTAGGAGGTAGCCCGAGGACAAAGCTCAGTCCTTGGCTTGTTTGGCACTGACCTTGATCTCAAGGTAAAGAGCTCTCCCAGTGAGGAAAGAGACTGGGTTGGCGCCAGCCCTCTTTTGAGAGGAAGCACTAGGTAAGATGCCATTTTAAAGAATATGGTGCCAGAGAACACACCCTCTTCACACTGTTACTTTCTCCACCTCTCCACTAACCAGGAGTGACACAAAGCTGCTACCCACAGCTGAGAGAACCTGTCTATTCTGACCTGTTCAGCTGAACAGGAACCCTGGTGAGAGATGAACTGCCCACCAGGACGCACCCCTGCTTGGAGCAAGGTTTCTGGACATCTTTGACTGCATACACCATCAGTCAAAACACTGAGCTTGCATTTAATGTTTCTGTACAAATTATATATAATACTTATGTTAACACATCAGTATGTTAACATGTTATAAAATATATCTAAAGTTAAAAGGATGAGCTGCGATGAGCAGACACAGACATGCCCATACTGTCTATTTTTGTGCCCAAAGTCTCACTGGCCTGGGGCTGAGAAGCCCATTTTGGAGACCGCTGGTGGGGGCAGCTGTCCCTCCACTAGGACTCTGGGAGAAATCAGCCCAGGAGTAAATGATTCGGTAAGATGAATCCTTACCAAACTTAAACTTAACATTTTTTGGCTGGAGAAGAAACGGCTACCCACTCCAGTATTCTGGCCTGGAGAATTCCATGGACCATATAGTCCATGGTGTCACAAAGAGCTGGACACGACTGAGTGACCTTCACTTTCACTTTTCACTTTCTGAAAAGTAGCAACTGGTATCATCATACCCAGGTTGTGCAACTTCAAAAGAACACAACAAATAAAGGAGAAGAAAATATCCAAAGTGCAAATGAAAAATATTAAAGTGTGAATTAAAGATATTGCAATCAATAAATAAAACAACTCCTTGAAAACTAAAATCATCTAAAGGCACACACGAGACAGAGTCCATTTGCCACCTACAGCAATTCCCATATATAAATGTTATGTCAGAAAACAGAAGAGGCAAGCCCAGTGGATAGGCTAATCAGGGTTTTGTTCCATACTGTTATGGTTTAACTGTCAGAGTTTCAGATACTTTTTATCTGATCCCACTTAATATGAATACAACTTATATTTTAAAAATTCTCTGGATTTCTTCTGCATGAAATCATTTTGGTTATTGTATGTATGATAATGGAGAAGTAAGAGAACATAAAAGTAACAGATATGTGAATCAATAAGATAATAGTTTTAGAGTTACATGCTTTCCTCTTCTTATGAATGAGGAGCACTCAATCCTTCCTGGGAGCACTCATTCAGTATGCCTGCCAGGAACCACGCCAGGCTCTGGGACACACAGACAAGTGAGCCTCTGTCCCGGCCTCAAACCACACTTGTGAACCTTGGTTGGAGGAAGACTGACATACAGACATGTAACCCCAACACAGTGTGCTAAACTCTGAGACAGCTTCTTTCGGGTCCCAGGCTTCTCTGGGGTCCCAAAGGTCAGGATATTTCACAGACCTTAAAAGAGGACAGGAACGAAATATGTTTAAGGTCAAAAGATTTAGGAAGACTTAAGAGAAATATCGTGACCTTGGAAAGAAATGCCATAACGGGAATTTGGATCATCTAGGCTCGTTTTTCTTAGAAATATAAATGTCACCTTCCTCTGCAAAGGCTGTCCTCCATTCTGGCAGTGCCCCCATCTCAGTGCCTTGTTGGGGCTCTGCTTCTGTAGAAGGGGTCACTTTCTGCTCGCCTTTGTCAGTTCCATCTCCGCCCCTCCAACCTAACGGGAGAGACTCTCACAGGGGTCAGTTAGCAACAGAAAGTCTCTAGCCCGTCCTTCCGCAGGAACACACGCGTGAACCCTATGCTGCAGGGGGCAGGCCATACATCAAAGCTGGAATCCCAGGGATCTGGGCAGTCCTGTGGGACAGCTGCTTCCCAGCGTGGTGGCCATCCTAAAGCAGGCTCCTCGCCAGCCCCAAGTGAGGGCTGTATTGATTCAGGGAGCCTGGGAGGGATTGTTCGAAAGGCCGAGACAAGGGATTCCATGGTAGAAACAATTGGCTTTCACAATAACCAATTAAACCAGGACATTATCCATGCTAAGCCATTATTCTGGGCCACTTAAGAGCCGCAATAAATCCAAGCTGCTTTAAAGGTTTGTGCGTACAAAGGGAGCCCCTCTGGCCTGTAACCAGCTCTCCCTGGCTCTTTGAAGATAGGATCTGCCTCCATGAAGGCTTCGGGGAGGAGCCCTACAACGCCTAACCTCGATGTCCCTAAGGCCACAGCTCTTCCCTCTGCATCACTCCTGGGTTGGACCATGCCTGCCTCCCTGCTGCTGCAGTTCCTCCGCCTCCTCCTGTGGGTCTTTCCCAGTGGGGCAAGCATCCGCCTTACAGACAGTGCACACGAGAGCCTCCGGGATACGCTGTCTACCCTCACCTGGAAGTACACACTCAAGAATGTGGTGAGTCTCGATCTTAGGGCAAAGTGGTGACTTTGGACCAGGAACTGTGTGAGGAGCTCGGACCTTGGCTTTGCCCTCCACACCCAGCGCTGACTCCCATCTTCCCAACACCTGTGCTCAGATCCCCGTCCTGCTCAAGGCATGGCCTCCTCTCTCACACCACTGCTCCAAGCTGAGCCTCCTTCCTTGAAGGCGCCTGTTTTAACCTCCAGTTTCTCAGGAATCCAATCCAATTTGTGGGTTATCCAGCCTTTAGCTTCCCCCCTCTCTGTTTTCTCTCCAA